AGAGGGTGGATGCAGTGTCACCAATATATGGGTTTTTAAGCCCTTAGCATCGCCAGGTAATTTTACAATGCGTCGCCAGGACCCAGGTAATTTTTAATGAAAAGCCAATTACGCTGAGTAATGAAAAACTATTTATGAGCCATAAACTTATTTACAAGGTTGCATGCATGTGTTACCCCTAATAACTAATTTTACCCTAAAAACAGTCCAATTGTACAGCAAGTGTCAACTGAACATGTGATAATGCAGTCTGACCGCTCTAATGTGACCTCAACTACGTAATCATAAACTTGATGTTTATATTTTTTTGGCGGGAACTCATTGCAACTGATTTCCAGACAAGCTTCACTGCATCCTGATCCATCCAACATACCTGAAACCTTATTTTTTTAAAATAGTTGGCCGAAGACTGACAAATATATTAAATGCAAGAATTTCAATCTAAATGTGTAGGCAAGATCTTCTGAAGGCGTAAATTTTGCTACTAAAGCATTGCTAAAGATCTTACAATATTCATCCACTCTCTGCACAGTGGCTTTGCAAGTCCCCTTGGACCCCTTGTAAGTTTAAATAAAATCAATAATTGAACTGTGAAATTGCTCAATTACTTCTATTGTTTGCAAAATGTGAAAATGCCATCATTGATTGAAAAAATTACAATGACTTACTTTCATTGGTTCCATTGGTTGCTCAGTCTGAATGACTGACAGTCATGTGTCATCTTTTCTGGCCCCTTACATGTATTCCATCCTTTGTTTCTCTTTTAAGCTTTTTACAGCACAAAAGAATGTTAACAATGTTGCAGTAAAATATATGCACAATGCCACAATCAAATCTAAGACACAACTTTACAAGCAAACATCACAACACAGACTTGGAAGTTGAGAGCTTGCTATCAGACAACAAATCATCATGACTAGTGAATTGTTTGGCAGTTCTGGCCCCCACTTGCTGCCGGCCCCTGCTAGCTCATTCAGTTGCCAAAGACACGCTTCTTGCCTAACTTCCTGTTGAATATTCATTGCATTTCTGGATCTCCTTATTCTCCTATAATTAATTTCAAACATATAGATAAGTAGAGTGATACTATGTTAATAAGTTATATTGGTTTTTAACACAAAAGATATATTAAAAAAATTTTTTTAACACTGCAATTAAGATAGTTAACAACCATTTCTTTTGAATTAAGTTCATAGGAAATGCAATTGATAATTTTTTGCTTTAGACAAGCTTTATATCTCAGACAGCACAATGATAGACCTCTCATTGGACAGACTGCTTCATAACTTTGATCAATTAGTGATGGGCATGAAGCCGTGTCCAATCAGAGCTGGGCATTCTCTCACGCGGAGGGCCAACCAACAGCTGATCGCAGTGATTGACTGGAATTTGTGGAGGAAGGTAAAGTGACCTGTGGCACTCCAGATTATGGCAGAGCGCTCTAATTTCCCAAACGCTCATGTTCTTTTATATTTACTTCAGAATTGCACTGTGCAGTTCTGCATGAGTTAATTAATGCCTGTGCATGTCAGGCTGTCAGCATGGCATTCAGATTCACCCATTGACAACTTGGCATATGGAACAAGTCCCAGGTTAGCTAAGTAAGCAAATGAAAGCCTTTTTTATTGAACTTGTTGAAAGAGTGAAAGCCAGAGGTGGTGGTGGGCAGAGTGCACCACTATTTACTTGAATATGAAGGTCAAGTTAGTCCATGGTCGTATTCTAATGCCTTCTAAATGACCAATTTGACCATGTACCCATGCAATTGAGGAGCGCGGTGGCTAAAAATAGGAGTATGCTTGCTACAAGAGAAGCAGGCCAGCCGTGGGCTTCAATATGAGCGGGCTGGCAGGAGGCAGCAGCGGCAGCGTGCTTTTCCTGCTCAGCGTTAGTGGGATAGGAGTGGAATGGCCTGGACAAGTGTCCTGGAGCACTCCAGCACCCAAATTAATACTGCCATTTCCTTAAATTTGATTCATTTTTAATTTCCTCATTTACTGATAATTCAAATTTTAAACCGATATCTTGTGTATGATAATGCTGGTATCCACAGTACTTTGCTTTGCTCATATTTTTAGGACTAAAAATTTAAATTGAGGAAGTCTAAAAAACTCTGCTTTGCCACTAGCCTACTCTGGACTGTCACTGGCACTAAGATGCGAACAGTTTTACCTGTTATAATGGTTTTTCAATCCAAAGTGGAAAGTTTGGCAGAAGCCACTATAGTGAATTTGATAAAATGTCCATTATTGGCTTTCAGTGCCCTTGCCTAATTCCTTCTGTAAAAATATAAATTTGGCACCTTTAAGCTTTAACCCCCTAAATTTTGGAAAAATGTACTTGAAACATTCATTTCACCTGTCTGGGAAAATTTGACCATATATTCCAGAATAGGAGCATTTTGGGACTTAAATTTTTTTATGGAAAATTAGGCAGAAGCCACTTGTGAATGTTAAAAGCAAAAAAAAATATCCATGCTTGTCAGTGTGCATAAAGAGAGCAATAATGCTCTTTGGCAACATATAGGTAGCAAAATTTACGTCTTGAGAAAATCCTGCCAACCTAGATGGAATATTCTTTAGAATTTTTCTTGAATGAAGGCAAAAGCGATTGTTTCATGGGTGATTTTTTTAAATTGTGGGTTAAAACAGGCCATTTTAATTTTTTTTACTGTTCTGGAGAAATTTGGAAAAGACCATAGGATAATAGGAATGCGTAAAATTTGCCAGATTCGGATTTTTTTTTTATTCACAGGAGTCTGCTGTCCAATTTTTGACTTTGGCTTGATGACATATTAACATTTTCACATGCAATTTAGGAAAATTGCTCTCAAAACAATTGCTTTACCTGCAATTTTCTAAAAATTCTGCTTGATTATTCAAATAGGGACTTGATAAGTCTAGGCTCTCCATCAAATTTCTTCCACTGTGAAATACACTGTTGCTAAGATAATATAGGTATATATAATTGCTAGTTAGTGCTTGAAAAGTTAATAGTTTTTATTCATCATGGCTTCATGACTAATGTTCATAATTCATTAAAAAAAATAACACATTATTGGCATTAGCAATCAATATCTTGTCCTACTGTAGAGTGTGGACCCTACAATAATAGATATATATATTACCTGTAGTCCTGCACCATATCTGTTACATATCCAACCCTAAGAATTTGACCTACAATTATGCATAGCAGCAGAGTTGTGCAACTTTATGATAGTGTAGTATTGTTGCAACCTATTAGAGAGCTGCAAGATTTAAGATTAAACTAAATTTGTGCGGACCAATGTATTTGTTCATTGAACAATTTTAGAGTTGAGTATCACCAATAAGAAGGAGAAGTCTTCCAATCTCGACAATGGTCTTTAGGTGGTTCCACCCATGACAACTATACCATCAAATGTGGTAATAAGGGACGGTTTTGAGCATTTTTTGTTAATAACTTCTAACCATGAAACATTTCATAAATGAGTTTGGGCTCATTTTAAAGGTCTTTGCTAGGGCTATCCTATGGCGTTTCCAAAAAAATTCCATATGCTATTTGTAAGGTGCTAGACACAATATAAAAGCCTCCCGAATTAATCTGGGAATGGGGTAATAAGGGACACTTCAAATAATACTCAATTTTAAAACGTTTGAATCATGCAGTGTACTCATCTATTACTAACAGTACTCTGAAGTCTTCCTCTTCCTTTGTAGATGATGTAAATGTAGAATAAATGACATTTTCTGTGATTTTTACTTGTATTTTCTTTATTGATATGATATTACCTTATCCATACACTACCGAATTATTGATGTGATATTAGCATATCCTTGGACATGCCATTGAGCATTGACAATGACCTTGTCTACTGCAAGCTTCATATCAGAAGCCATATAGCATTTCTTCTGTATCTGTAAGCTTACAGGACGGCTTGTAATTTTGCACAATTTAAATCAAGTCAAGTGATTTCACTGCAAGAAAATAGATCATAAAAAACACACCAGGAACAGAAAGGAATATCTTGGTGACAACCATCATATTTTTTGGAGAAATGAAACATAATTTAGGTTAATTATTTTTCATTATTTGTTGCCCAGTGCTCAATTCTATCTATGACATTCTATGCACAATTTTATGATGACTGATGATGCATCAATTTTTCATTAAGTGAAATTTTTTTCACTGAGCGAGGTAAATGTAATCAAAATTCTTTGTTGATAATTGATTTTTTTGTTAACTGGAGCCTTTGCTAACCAAGGTTCTACGTACTTTGAATGCATTTTTAGGGGTGTCCCTTATTACCCCAGGGGGGGGGGTGTCCCTTATTACCCCGCCTTGCAGAAATGGCTGCCATTTCTTTCTGGAATGAGATAAGCAAATTCTTTTAAGCATGTTTTAAGCCAACACTAGTGTGCAACTTTTATGTAAGAAAACTTTTTTAATGTGACAAAAATTTTTTTGCTACAGACCGTAGCAGAAGTACTTTTCCAAAATCTCACTTTTCACACTTTTTTTGGGGATTTTTTAGAGGTAATGAATGTATGATTTCTTAACTTGCTCTATGCTACATAGATAGTAAAAATGTTGAACTTTATGCCACTATTTTTAGTTTTGTAATATTTTGATTCATTTACCTGCTACAACATTTCTACAAAATGTTGGAGGACTGTCCCTTATTACCCACTTTGATTGTATCTAACATTCAGATAGCAAATTTCACTTGCAATTTTTGGACACCAGTTATGAAACCATAACTTACCTGTAACCTTGAACAAAACCATAACATAACTGAAACCTTGAAACTTAGAAGTAAGATTGAAAAAGTCTTTTAAACACATGCATTATGGCCTCCTTAGAACTGATTCTTGTTCATTAGCCAGTTTTCATGGGGCTCTCTTATTTGTAGCTATGCAGAAAATATTCCAATTAATTGCATGCTTTAAATGTTGATTCTTTTAATGAAAAATGGTTTCATAAATCATGGTATTTTGTTATTGTTTATGTTTTGTTATTTTAAGTCATTAATCTGATTATGATGTTTTTCTTCTTTCCAGAGTGCAGGAGATAGGAATAGGAACATATGCAAGAATTCAATATTTTTGATAGTTGACTTGCCTCAAAACTGGTTTATTTTTTATTACTTTTTTCATTCAAATTAAAATGAGTGTCACCACAAACAGTCACACATCACTACCTCCAATCAAAAAATGGACAGCTAGGCAATGGAAAATCCTCCCTGAAAAAGGAGGCTCTGTTGCCATAAATGATGTTAAGCTGAAGCAAGGATTTTTGGGGAACTTGGAGAAAAAATCCTGCACTGAGTTAGAAGAACTTATTATGCGTCAAGACAAGCTATTATCCAATCAAATGTTTATTGACAAGCTTCCAGATAAAGGCCAGAAAATTAAAAATAGAAGGGATGACTTGCAGCGAGCTTTAGAGCAAGCAAGGAAGAATGGTGAGAAGCAAGAAGTTTTACCTGATATAAATGCACTTGAGTGGCAGTGGCGTGACCCAATGGATCTTTCCAAAAGCATGCATCATGAAATTAATGGTGCATCAAAAGATATTCTTGACAGTGATGATGATGAAGACCCTCTAGAGCTGCTTGCTCATCACAGCAGTGCAGTGCCTCCAAGACGCTCTAATCATGGGGCACCTGAGGATGACCCAGCTGATGCTATTAGGGAAGAGCTATGGAAATTAGAACTAAATGATAATTCAGTTTCCAAAACTGTTAGCCAAAGAAGTGACTCCAATCAACCAAGTTGGCTAGGTGACTTTGGCTCTAAGACAATTGCATCATTGGAGAAAAAAAGTAAACCTAGAGAAGTTTTCAAACCATTTAGACCCCGCCTTAACCAGAATTTACTTCCTGCAAATCTTGATGATGTAGAACCCAAAGCACCAACTTCTATTGTAGGCATACAAAATACACAACCTGGAAATACCAAAGTTCCACAGAAAGAAGACAAGAAAAGTATTTCATCAATGGAACAAACCTCAATCACAGTCAATTTATCCAATGAACCAGTTTTTGGAGCTCCTGCACAACTTTCAAGTACAATGACGTTTTCATCATATAGAAATTCTCCCTTATGGGCAAGTGGCAGTAATAAAGGGAACAGCTGCACTAAGTTGGTGTCACTGCGGGAAAGTGTAACGCTAGAGAGAGAGGCTCTACAGCGGGCAAAGAAAGCACAACTTGAAGAAGCAACAGCTCGTCTCAAAGAATCCAAACTGGGCTCCAAGCCTAACTCCACTCATAGAATATTTTCATACAGAGATGTGAACACAGCTCATCATTTGCTGGAACAAGACCTTGATGAGGTTGGAGATGTCTTCACTCACCACAGAGGAGTCTGCATTGAAGACAGCAGTGAATCTTCTGAAGGATCTGATCAAGAGGATTAGTGCTCTGATCTAAACGTTAACTCTCAATGAATTTTGCGTATGCCTTTATCTCTTTAATTTGTCCAGAAAAATTATACTAGACATGATTCTGTATTTCCTGAACATTTACTTTGATTTTAATTTTAACTCAAGGTAAAGTTCGAGTAATTTCTTACAAAATGTTGATATTAATGCTGTTGAATCTTCCTGAATCCAAACTGATAAATCTTATAAAACTTTCTCCGGAATATTACTTTCAAATAAAGTCCCAACGTTTGTACCTATTGTTTCTTTAACATAATTACCGTATCGTTATTTCTGTTTAATTTTGTGATGATTTTCAGTTTTTGAATATGGTATCATCAAATCAAATGTGATTTTGATTGTGCTACTAATTGGCAGAGTGTATGTGAAATTAGACATGGGTAAATTCAGCACAGGCGTGTTGATCCACGTAGGGGCTGCCGACCCCTCTAACCTGATGGCATATGCAAGACATTGTTTTATGTTCCATGCCTGGTCTCGTTACAAAAATAGTGGTTTTGTTCCGGGGTCTCAAGGCATGTCAAAGATACAGTTATTTGTTACAAGGTCTCACATTTCACACTTTGAAAGTGTAATCTCAGCTTCAGCTCTAACTCGTTTTTTTACTTAAGTGTAATTCGTAATAAATATGAAATATCAAATCAGGACATACAATCTGATACACTCGGCTGGTATAATCAGCGGGCAACATGGTTGTAGTTTCTCAACGATGAACAGGTCAAATAATGTCAGGTTGCAATTGAAATTTAACACATGCAATTGCGAACGAATTATTATTTGCCTGTAGATGTGTTTTTAAAATTGTTTTTTTTTTTGCAGAATCAGAGAATAAAATCAGAGTGCAGATATAGAACTCATTATCAAAGATAATTTATTGTTTGTTGGTATAATTACCTGAATATTTCAAGGTACTTCGATCATCCTTTCGATGAATTTTATACATGACGATGAAGCGGCGTCGTCCGCCGACGACGCTGTGATAGGCGAGCGCCTGCTGTCACGCATGCAGCAGCGCACGCAGGAGCGCGAGCAACGCTCCCAACAGCGACGCGATCAAGTGACCAACCGCAACACCGAGCTCGAAAACGACGACGCATTTCTCACTTCATTCAATGAAATGAAAATCAAGCTTGAGGAAGACTTAAAGAATGTCACTCAACGATCAACTGCGGACAAGAGTGAGCTCGAGTCGTGCTTCGAAAAGATGACTAGGGATCACGGTTTGATTCAACAGTATATCAACGAGTCTAGTATGTTTCTGTCCCAGTATCTGTTGAAACGCTCACAAGAATCGCTTGCCAGCTTAGACGTAGAAATTAGAAATAAAATGAGTGAGATGATTCCTAAAAAGAGGTTCGGCTTCAGAGGACGCTCTAATTTACCGCCCAAGACAGCTGTGACTCCCGACGTCGTCGACAGTGCTTCAGAAGTTCAAAGAAACTCTGCTTTGGAACAACTTTTAGAGAAAAACTTTTACGGCTTCAGGGATCTGTCAAGTGAGAAGCTCACACTGAACGCTGCCGAGGTGCACAACAGACAAGTGAATCTGGTTAATTTAATCGACTGCACAGTCACGATTCTGGGCAACCCTGGTGGTATGCAAGCGGCGGGCCTCACCAACTGCACCGTGGTTGTGGGCCCCATGTCGCGTTCGGCGTTCATCAAGAACTGCGTTGACTGCCGCTTTGTTCTGGCCTGTCAGCAGGTGCGCATCCACGATACTAAGGACAGTCAATTTTACCTGCACGTTACGGGCGCTGCCATCATCGAGTCTTGCAATAACGTTGGCTTTGCTCCCTTTAACTTGAACTACGACCAACTTGATGAGCACTACACTTCTAGTGGCCTCGATAGAAGTATTAATAAATGGGATAAAGTCGACGACTTCAAGTGGCTCAACAGTGAGGAAAAATCGCCCAATATGTTTCTCATCCCTGAAGAAAACCGGCAAACTGAATGGTTGACCAGCACGTGAAAATAATGCTCATTTAAATTCGTTTTTAGTTATGGATCTATTCCTCATTAAGTTATCATTCCTGCACTTCTTCATTCCGCTTCTTGGATGAATAAAATTTACACCGCACCTCGAAAATGCTGGCTTTTATGCAGCACCTTGGCTTGAATCCCCCCGGACACCCATCAATCACGCACACATCCTTTCGCCACAATCTGTAACGGGCATCATCCCTCAGGAAATAACTAAATAATATCTTGGAAGTCACTTAGAACACCCATTCCCCATCTCCTGTTATAGCCATGCTCACAAGGGCGACGGAACCCTACGCATCCTACAAGCCCTAGCTGACAACAACTGGGGCTTCTCGAATGAGGGTATCGCTGCCACCTAGCGGACCATCACGCATCCAATCCTTAACAAAACAGCCTCTATCTGGTACCCCATTGTTTTGCACACCGCAATAGCAGGCCTCCAAACTATCCAGAAAATGGCCTTGAGATTGGCCACCGGCTGCGTCAGAATGACTACAATAGTCCATCTCGGCTGCAATGCTGAGACAGACAGTTCCTTGTCAGTGCCTTACAGCCCTCCTCGGGGACCGACCCATGAAAGCATCCCTCGTGGCGAGAGCCGGCCACCTTGTGGCGAACGGCATTTGCATGCAGGCTCCTACAAGAAGGCCAAGCGATATCTATATAGGCAGGGAGATCTCGTGTTGTGGCGACCGTCGATGACAAGATTGTACTGGCTGCTCCACCTTGCCCGATTGCTACTGAAAATGCTCGTTCTCCCGCCTTCATCGCTCAGCGCTGCCTCAGCTCCGTTCGGGCCACTGCTGCTCCTTTGTATCCTGTACTTTTTGTACAGTCGTACGCTCACCCAACGATTGTGGGGATCACCTCCAGCATCGTTTTTCCTACACACCTTCCCCACGACCCTCAGCGTCTCCTCATTGTGGGACAGACCATGGAGGCGCCAGTCTTCCTGTCCACCCTCCGAGCCTATCTCACTCCGCTTCAAGTGGGCTTCCCTCGCCCAATACACCACCACAGGAACTACCCTCTCGTGCGACCGTCGGCACAAAAAAACACGAGTAGCCATCTCGAATGAGAAATATGAACAGGCCAGTTACTGTCAGAACAAAAAATTAATGGTTATTCATCATTTGTTCATGCTCCTCAGTCTATAAATCCGTTGCGCTTTGGTGGGCGACAAGTTTTTGTAACATTAGGCACGCCTTTGCTACTCAGCTGCACAACTAACGATGACTACGATGTCTTTTTTTAATGAGCGGTAGCCATTAACAATTCAGTTATTTTAGTGCAAGTAGTATAATTCGTAGGGCACCGTTGGAAAAAAGCCTTAAACTAACGTATTTACGCGTGAATCTACGCTATTTCCAATAAGTTAAGTTACTGTTGAACAATTCTGCTTTTATTGGCCATGAGGTGAACAGTGTTATCTTCATCAGTCAAACTGAAGGCAGAGACTATAGTTAGGTTAGTCGAAAGTTATATCTCTGAATGTTTTATTCGCATGATCTGAAGATGCAACATGCAGCTAAACTTGTCAACTTGCATGCAACTCAACGCTAACTATAATAAATACGGAAACGGGCCTAGTTTCTTCACAAATCTGGGTAATAAAATTTAAATAACAAACCTTTGTTCCATAACCTTTCTTTGTTGGCATAATTAAGCAGATCGGTATCAAATGTGCACAGGATAAATTTTGATTAGTACCTTCCAATACCAACCTGAAGAGAGATAACACCAACACCATTACTACCAAGTCTACTCCCGAAGCTTAAGTACCTGACATTATTACGTGTGCGTTCTCACTTCGAATATTCGCAAAAACAAAAAGAGCAGAGACAACCGCGATAATGACAGTTACTTTAACAAAAGTGAATTTGACAGTTACTTTAACAAAAGTGAATTTAGACTGTAAAATTGCATGAAGCCGACATAAGTTTTAATTCGTAACATCAACGACCAAGCTGGTAAAAATGAAATTCAGAGAAGATCCTGTCACTCCAGAAGGTGCGGAACGGAGTTGCAACCCGAGAAAATCTCGCTTTCTCTGCCTTTTCAGAAAAGATCGATAAGCGCAGTCTCAGGGACTCGACGTTCGCCACTCTTCAATGGGCGTGCACATTTTGGTCATATTCTAGTTGAGAAAAAACGTTGTCTAGTGAAAATTTCTTTAGTTTCTAAAATATCTCGATTCAAATTAGAGTGTTTGAATCTAAAGGTAAAGGCATCCCTGACGAAATGCTAATAGAGTAACACACAAACCAGAACACGTTAAATTTTCGTACTACTCACAAGCAGCATGTAAATCAAATTAATCATAAGAAATTAAATAGTCCTTAAGAAGAAAATTGAAATTTTTGGAAATCAACTTCCCTAAAAATAATTTAAAACGATAGTTGATGAAATTAATTTTATATTGGTAACATCTTTGATCCTGAACTCCATTCAAGGAAATAAATCTTGAATTGCAGTCGGATTTCTAGACCATATTAGATAGGTATGTAGTGTTGATGACCAAAGATTAATAAATCAAATAAAAATCGTTCGTAAGAATCAAGAAACACACGGACACGGATTACGAGAAATTTATCATTAAGTCAGTGCATTTATCATAGCCTTTAGCTGGTTCCATTGACAGCATCAGGAGCCGCTTCTTCTTTCTTCTTCTGGTCGTCAGGCTTCATGGCAGGGAAGCAGATGACCTCCTTGATGTTGTAGGAGTTAGTAAGGAACATAGCGAGTCTATCCATTCCCATGCCCCAGCCAGCAGTGGGGGGAAGCCCGTATTCAAGAGCTGTGCAGAAGTTTTCATCAATGAGTTGCGCCTCGTCGTCACCAGCATCTTTATCTTTAGCCTGCTGGGCAAACCGAGCTCTCTGGTCAAGGGGATCATTTAGTTCAGTGTAGGCGTTGCAGATTTCTTTCTTGGCTACAAACAACTCGAAGCGTTCGGTGAGCCCAGGTACAGAACGATGATACTTGGCTAAAGGACTCATCACTTGCGGATGATCCATGATGAATGTTGGGTTGATGCACCGCTCCTCCAAGAACTCGCCCACGAGCTTGTCCAACAGGCGCGCTGCCGTGCGAGGAGGCGAACACTCCACGTTGTGCTTCTCACACAAATCGTTGAGAATCTTGCGTGCTTCGTCCGTGTGCAGCTGAGTGGGATAAGGTAGTTTGGTATTGAGAATCTTTTCCAACTCAGGGAACATGTTGACACGTTTGTATGGAGGTTGGAAATCAATTTCCCACGTTTCACCTTCAGGACCACTGGGCTGGAATTGGACCTTATAAGAACCAAAAATGCTATGAACCATTCCAGATAACAAAGTCTCAGTGAGCTCTATCAAATCATTGTAGTCTGCATAGGCCATATAGAACTCGCACGTCGTGAACTCGGGGTTATGGGTCAGGTCGATTCCTTCATTACGAAACTGTTTACCTATTTCATACACGCGGTCAATACCGCCGACCACGAGCATCTTAAGATATAGTTCGGGTGCTACTCGGAGGAACAAGTCCATGTCTAGCTCATTGTGATGCGTCACAAAAGGCTTGGCAGTTGCTCCTCCAGCTATCATATTCATCATGGGAGTTTCAACCTCTAAGAATCCCATGTCATCAAAGAACCTTCTCGTGTACGAGATGATGTTTGACCGCACGATTAACTTCTTGCGAGATTCGGAATTGATGATGAGGTCAAGATAGCGTTGCCTGTACCTCGTTTCCTGATCTTTGACACCAAAATGCAAGTGAGGTAACATGTGCAGGCAGGGTGTGAGTACTTCAATTTTCAAAGGTCGGATAGAAAGTTCACCGGCCTTGGACCTGGTCGGAACCCCACGCACACCCACCACGTCTCCACGTCTTATCTTGTCACAATCAGGGAGAAAAGCTTCCTCACTCTCGTAGAATTTCATGTTTGCCAAAATCTGCAATCAAATGAATAATGAAAGACAATATATCCACATTATATGAGTTGTAAAAGCATCACTATTGCTTGATACTCTTTCTGATTGAACTATTCTCCAAAAATTCCCAAGAAAACCTAAGTTACATTAAAAATATTTATTTAGTAAGCTTCCTATAGACTTCGATCAGATAAAGAGATTTGTCACTTATAATTTTCCAGTGAAGCCACTTGTTGTGCCTAAGATTACACAAAAGGCAAGACCAGTATTTCAAAAGTAAATTCCCGCTAAGATCATTAAATAGGTACTTCAAAGCACAAGGCTATTGCATCTTATCTGTTAATGTAATAAAGTAATCCCTAACATTATCTTCAGTCACTGGAGCTAATTAGGTACCTGAAGTTTGTGGTCCTCTCCTCGCAGGTCATAAAACCTGAGCTTGTGACCGGCCTCTCTGATGGCATGTACACGGCCGGCCACAGTGACTACGTCTTGCTCAGCGCACTCTTCTACTTTCAGGTGCTCATATTTATTCAGGAAGTCTCCAAGGCTTGTGCTCACCTGGTGTATACAAAATTTATCAATATTCACTCTCAAATATGCTGCTTAGGAAAATGAGAATTGAATGATACCAGTAAAAATAAATTCTAAAACCTTTGATAACTTGGATATGAAAAATTTTAAAATTATTTTATAGGAATTTAAATTAATAAATAACATTGCAAGAGGATTTGTAAATTTTGAAAATTAGTTTAATTTTGTCATTTGCTAACTTGCTGTAGCAAGTTAGCAATATATACAATTGGCAAATATATATGCATCCAGAGTACCGGTACCATGTAAAATATTATGGTGTTTATGAAAGCAAGGTCAAAAGTCACACAAGGGAGGATTATAGCACACAAATTAATAACTGCATAAAAACATTTACAAAGCATAAAGCTACAAGCAACTAGATGTTAGGCACTTGAAAGCAATAAAGTAGGTACTTACAGTGAACTTGTGAGGATAAACCTTCTCGCCAGCATCTTTCTTCTGCTGAATAAGTTGGGTCCTCAATTTGTAATACTCATTGGGGCTGATTTCCTCCTCATCATCTTTCTGCACAGAACAAAAATATTCTTATTATTTTAGCAGGCTCAACTTACGACATGATATTTTTTAATCAAAGCCAGACACCAAATCTGAACACTCATAACCCAAATATGTTCACTTAATATTTATATCAGCATGGTTCTCACTTTGTTACCCTTTGATGCACTAGCAGTTGAAGCAGCAGCAGCCAGCTTGGCATCCTTTTCTGCTTTTTCTTGTGCTTTCTTCTCAGCTTTCTGCCTTCTCTTCAGTTCACTGCGCAAATAAAAATAAGCATGTTGACTTTTTAGAGATATATACACATAGAAATATGAAAATTATTGCCTCATATGGCACAACTCACAAAATGAGTTTTAAACAAAGTAGCCATACAATTTTGGCTTTTTTGAAAGCAACATCTATAGGAGCTCACCCGTAAGGTGAATTGATGGAGCGCAGCGTTTTGAATAGTGGCCCATAGGAATGCAGACTTCTGCAAACTATTCTGCCACTACTCAGTACTGTAGTATTATTTACATAACCATTATTATTCTCATTTGAGACAAACTGAGAAAGACTAGAATGAGGCCTTCTATTAAATTTCATGATTTTATCATACAAAAACACATTGGAAAAACATCTTTGTTGTGCTCCAGCAAGTGAATAAAAGTTTGAATATTTTTCATATGGCACTTTTCCTGATGCCCATGGACAGAATTTAAGCAAGCAAGGTGAAGGATTTTTTAAACTGGTAACTAAATTACAAAATAATTTCATTTTGATTTTTTCTAAACAGGGAATCTATCAAGAGAAGCAAATCATTATAAAGCAAACATATAATGCATCCTACAAAATAACCATTACCCTTCAAAGATACAATCACACAATGCCAAATTCACAGACATATTAAAAATTTGACTCTCAGACTCTTGAGTATGATAATGCAGAATATCACATGTGGAAAAATTTGAATAACAGATTAACATTTCACCTGAACATGACTGCTTGTCATATATACGGTACATTTGAATCAATACCCATGTTTTCATAACAAACTGCAAGACAAATCAAAGTGATTCACATAAAATATATTAACTTAGTGAGGAATTTTTCAGAGGTGTTGCATATTTTTGAAAGACAGAAGATGCAAAATTCAATTTTAACAAAATTTTCAACAATTGGTGCCTCATTGAAATAAAAAAATTAATAAATTTAATGTGTCGGCAAGATGATAAATTAAGAAATAGTAGTTAAATTTAATATAAACTTCACCTAATATTCAAAATTACCACGACATGATATTATCATAAAAAATTGCATTGAAATCCAATGTACATTACATAGGTCCCTTATCATCCTATGGGATAAAAAAATTTATCCTATATTTACTGTAGGCTGCAGTACTAGCAACCAAGAGTTATCAAACTTGCTAGAATGATTTGGGTTGCATGAAATAAAAATATCCTAAATTCTGGAGAATTATTTTAGTAAAATTTATAACATAAGATCATTTTCTTTGTAAGAATATAGAAAAATTTTTAATAAATCAGGATTCTTAAAAATATTTCCATGATGCAATGAATAAAAATAAAGAAGTGAAAATTATATGGAAACCTAATATACTGGAAAAAATCAGTATAAACATAAAAAATAAATAAATGGAGATGCATGATAGTCTCTAAATATTCAATGAATGGAATGCATCACTTAAATCTTCTTTAGGAACTCTAACATCTTGTACATACATCTTTGTCTAAATTACTGCATTTGAAGCCAGGCACCAGAAATATTTAAGGGCTGGTCAGGCACATATCCATATGTCATAATAATTCTATGGAGTAAAATTCAATATGCATAAATAAATGCATAAGGCCTTGAGAATGGACAAGAGGACCAATTTAATGATTGATTTGCTATTTCTACTCTAAATGATACATTTTTATCTAGTATAACCCAGGCATGGAATACAATTATAACTAATTGGTGAGCCGCGACAGGAATTTGTAAGCCATGGTTTTATGGATTTGCCAGCCATGATTCCATTCCTTTGAGCCATGAATTCCATTTCTCAGCAATGAAGAGCCATTTATGAGCTGCGAACTTATTTGCAAAGTCCTGTGCACATGTTATCCCAAATCTCTAATTTTACCCTAGAAACAGCAACAGTAACATTTGCCTTTATTTTAGTGGTAATTAAACATGTGATAATGCAGTCTGACCACTCAGATGTGATTGCAACTATGCAATCTTCAACAAAATGTTTTGGGTTGACTTGTTACCATTACAGGCCGAGATATGGAATTCACGGCTCGGTGAAATAGAATCACGGCTCGTAGAAATGGAATCACGGCTGGCAAATCCATAAAACCACGGCTCGAAAATTCAGTCGCGGCTCGCCAAGTAGATATATTCCATACTAGGCTACATAGGCTAGCTACCTTCATCATGCTAGTTTGCTAGAAATATGCAGTTTAGTTATGTTTACAATAATTTACAATTTTACATTGGTAATAGATAATATCCAGTGATGGCCACTTCAACTTGGCCAGTGACTTTAATAAAAGAGTTGTGTATATAGCCTTATAGAGTTATAGGTACTGTAAGTGTAAGGTACATACATAAGTGCTGTGGTCCCACTTTTGGTGTTATTTTTGACAATACTCAATAGTCTGAATAGATGAATTTTCGGTATTATTGCAGATTAACTACATCCAAAAAAAAGGGTGTTTTTTTTTTAATTATATGTTTTTTGGGGTGTAGATTACGAATCTGAAAATTAAACATGTGATAATGCAGTCTGACCACTCAGATGTGATTGCAACTATGCAATCTTCAACAAAATGTTTTGGGTTGACTTGTTACCATTACATTCTGCATGATATTTTGGTAGGAGCATTGAATGATTAAAGTACTGTGGATTGTGGAAGTTGAAAATTTTAAGAAATGACATGTTTGCAAACAGCAAAGTGAAGTGCAAACCACATTTTTTTTAAATGAAGCAAAAATACGTGACATTAGAGTTTAGACTGATTAGAGCCGCAAGATTTCATACCTACTTAAATTATATTATATGAGAGCAATGATATTTCAGAAAAAAGTAGGACTTTTTCTGATCTGGTGTAACCTGTAAATAATATTTTTTTAAATGCATTTTTTTAGATTCTGCCCATGTGCCCAATATTCTAGGTTGGGTTGGAGTTTGGACTTGGAGAAGTCACTCAAAAATTAGGCTTTCTAGTTTGAAAGGTGTAATTCTGATGAATTGCAAGAGATAATTAGGCTAGGTTTATCCATAGATTGCAATTTACAATCGATTTGGTTGATAGCAAGTGATCAATCCAGTCACTCAGACTAGCTTCTATAATTTTTTGATTTGCAAGGCAGCAAGATTACTGCCACTGTCAATTACACTCAATATACTGTTATTTACACATTATTTACCACCTGTCAGTTGTCACTAAAACCTGTAAAATAATTGTTGGAACCTCTACTGTGAGTTTGTAGGGTTTAAAACACATTACATAGCTACCTTCATCATGCTAGCTAGTTTGCTAGAAATATGCAGTTTAGTTATGTTTACAATAATTTACATAGGTAATAGATAATATCCAGTGATGGCCACTTGGCCAGTGACTTTAATAAAAAGAGTTGTATATATAGGTACTGCCGTACTGTAAGGTACATAGCCTACATACCTAAGTGCTGTGGTCCCACTTTTGGTGTTATTTTTGACAATAGGTACTCAATAGTCTGAACTCTGAATAGGGTAAACACGGTATATTCCGACACATTAAGGACGCATCGAGAAATGAAAAACTATAAAAAAAAACCGTATGCGTTACGCAAGTTCTGTTGCCTTCACATGACTAGAATTTTCTACCTAAGAAATTGTTTAAAATAGTTCAAAACTTCAATCACACTGCAAGCCTACAAAAATGTAAATTTATTGAAAATGCATCAGTAGCTACTAATAAAAAGTTCTCAATCTTAGCAGAATTATGATTGCAGCTTGCAGGGTTAAATTACCACCTTATCCTCAACCTCAAAATTCACACTTTTTTTTTGTGGCTCAAGCGGGAGGCTAAAATATATCTGCATGTCGTAAATAGCCCAATTGGGATTTAGGAAACGAATGAATCGTGAATATCGTGAATGTAGCCTAACTCAGAAGTTCAGAACTGGTACTGGTAGAGACTAGCTAGGGTGTTGACTGGTCTGATTTTACACTAATGGTTTAGAAGCGTAAATTTTTCATCAAGAATTTCATATTTGGAAGCAAATAAAGGTTAGAAATTAAATGAAAGAACGAGATAATAATATTGTCGAAAACTCCGTCGATCCTTACTTCTTTGACAGTTTTTCTCCTTCGACATCCGCCATGCTGTCAGTTCAAAACTACACACGTGAACGTTGAAACTACTTCCGGCGACACCAGACAAGACTGACCGCGTTTTCCGTTCTCCAGTCACCAGTGCTTTAGCTGACGACATCTTCTTGGCGAAATCATAATATAAGTTTCATGTTGAAGAGATGAAAAATTTCGGTCATCAGTATGTGAAAATAATAAAATCTAAAAAATTTGAATTCTACTCTATCCCAATACCCTGATAAATAATATATTCTTATTTTTTTCATATCAAAAATGTAATTTGGTGAATTTTTTTATACGACTATTAGAATTTGGAATCGAAACGAGTTTTCTGTAATTTTACTTGCACATAAGTAAACCTTGAGATTATGAATTATTTGGAACAAAGTTCTTATTCCGCGATAAATATTTATCTATTAAATGACGTCATATTTTTTATCATAATTTTGCCCAAAGACACATTGAATTCAAAATTGTTTTCTAAGAATGAAGATAAACTGTAAAATGTAAATGAATCGAAATTGAGCGTTAATTAAAGTGTCTATGAGGCATACATTTTAACGTCAATACTATAGGTATGTGTCACGACTCCGGCCGCTCTCTAACTATCGCCCTGTCAGTCAAGTGTTATTTGTAGGGTTATGGAATCGGTTGTGAGGGGTATGATTGTCCATAACTTGTCTGTTAACCATCTCATATCATCCCATGTCAACATGGCTTTATTGCCGGTAGATCCTGCACCACTAACCTCTTGTCTACGCTGAACGAATTAGACTCGCCTGCTGGACGAAAGGGAGCCAGTGGATGCAGGGTGCCTTGATTTTGCCAAACCATTTGACAATCATGGTTGAACTATATATCGAAAAGAGGGTTAAATAGTTTCCACGATGATTAAAATGATTGAATGTGCTATAATGATTTTTGAAATGTGTTCTAAATTCATGTAAAGAAAAGAGCACTTTTTGCCCTCATGTGATGGTGCCCTCAACTCAGACGTCGTCCACCGCATGTAGATTGGGTCTTTATGAACAAAATTGGCGGAGCCTCACATACACGACATACCTACGACATGCGCCAGATGCAAACGTTCAGTCACATACAGGCTTTATCAATCATACAGGTCAGTTTTTCGTCACAAGAAAACGATCATTTATTCGCCACATGCGACCGATCACTTGTTCGCCACATGCAACCGATCACTTATTCGCTACATGCACACGATTAATTATTCGCCATACACATGCGATTAATTATTCGCCACGTGTGAGCGATCACATATTCGCCACACGCACACGATTAATTATTCGCCACACACATACGATCAATTATTCGCCATGTGCACATGATTAGTTATTCGCCATATATATACGATCGACTATTCGCCTCCTGCAAACGATCAATTATTCGCCGCAATCGATCAATTCGTC